CCATAGAACCCTAAAGGGCAGACTGAGTAAAAAAAAAAATGCAAATGTTTCCAGTTCCAGTAAAACATACGTCTGTTTTACACATTTTGTTTTGTCCATATTTATTTATTCAAAACTATACAAATATTCGCTGAAAAATTATCAATTCTAACATCTCAATCATTGTCTATTTTTCAGGACAACCAGTATCATATTTTTGGGATATTAACAAGAATAAATATATGGAATGGAGAATTTAGATGCCAAATGATGCTAAAAAACGTAAAGGGCAGACTGAGTCAAAAAAAATGCAAATGTAGAAACATCATTCCAGTTCCAGTGAAGCTCATGCAAAAAATAGGTGGAATATAATTAATCAGATCAATAACAAGACAAAAAATACAATCAAATTTTGCAAGAAATTATATTTACTGTTCATAGACACTCAATTAACTACGGCATGTTTTAATTCAAATAATGTGAATGCTTTAACATCAAATGTGCCTAACTTCTAAGACCCTTAACAAACATTAGATTTCAGTCTTGCTGAAACAAAATATATCATGGAAATATGTTTTTTACCTCTTAATCTATATAGAGAACTAATGAAAACAAGACATACACATCAGCGATTAGAACAGTTAAAATAAAAGTCTGGATAAATACTGTTGAATATACAACTCAATTTCAAGTGCCAAAAATCCATTTCTAACATACAAATACGATTTGTTAAACCATCAACAAGCAAAAAACTGAGATGCAAACAGAAGTTTAGTTTCATAATCAGAACCAAGTAAGGCTGTGCATTAAGCAATGGGGTCAAAGCGTAAAAGGCATTTAATTTCAGTAACGATATTAAAGAAGGAAACAAAATAACAAAAACTAGGAATGAAATCATACCTACAAACAGTTCTCCACAAGATCTTTGAAGGGGCTTCATCTTCTGGCGCATCAGACCACCGGAAAGGCAGATTTCCTCACATCGGATGACCCCAAACTTCTGGCCGTTCAAGAGCTCTTTAGCCAAAATGGAAGCCAAGCATGTGGTGTCTCGCATCCCCCAACACTCTTTTGGCGCAGATCCCTGACCCGGATACCATCTCTCCTCTCCATTCTCTCACTTTCTCGCTCTGAAAAGAGTCGGAAGTATAATTAGGGTTTTTCAAGGCCATCTCTCCTCTCTCACTTTCTCTCAGAATCGGCACTTCAACCCTTGTGAGTTATGACAGCAACTAAATCATACACCCCTGGTGCTCATCTTTCTCTGCATGTACTGAAATAAAAGGATAAAGTCAATAACACATTAGATTGCTGAAGGGATCTATCCAAATCTGATTAAATAATGGAGTAATTTTGCAACTGATCATGAGCTTCTCACTGGATTAGACCACAAAAAATAATATTTTAAAAATTTCAACCATTGGTTTGGCTCAGGACAATTCTAGTTCGACTTGTATAGACAATTAAGCAATGTGTAACTAATTTACTGAACTCTGTACATTGAAATTCGTACCAGGATCTACTAGCTTCTGATTCTCAACTACTTATAATTTCTGTTGCAGTGACTCAACTGCACAATTCATACAAACTCTTCTTCTGTGTTTCTTTTGAAAAAATCAATAAAGAACATGGAATTCTTTACTACCACTCATAGGAGAATACCAGTCAATATAAGGAGCGGTACAAGCACTATTCCTGCAGAAGCTTGAAAGTACCTACTACTCTGCTGCAGTGAATTCTAAAGGCATAATTCACACAATCTCTTCTTCTGTGTTTCTTTTGAAAAATCCAATAAAGGGCATAGAATTCTTTACTACCATTCATAGAAGAATAACATCCCAAAACAAACAGACAGGAATACCTACCACACAACATCAGGTAAAGTCTTAAAGTCTTCTACAGCTTATTAAAATGCACAAAAAGAACTGCCATAAATTCCTCATACCCTCTTCTCCCCAAGGAAGTTACAGATCTCGATAGTCTTTCCTCCACCGGAGACGGAGGCGTAGCGTCTACCTTTCGCGATGCCGTTGATCAGGTTAGTGACGTGGTTGAGCGCAGTGGGAATGGCGGCAGTTCCATCATCTTGCACGGTCCACACCATGTGGCCGAGAAACCCACCACCATCTACGGAGGAAAAATAAGAAATAAGAAATTACAGAACAAAAAACAGCAATAAGATCGGGAAAAACTGACAGGGCCAAAAAAACCGATATACGAGTTAGCCTTCGCTAACAGCAAATTTATGCCTGAATTGATGATGACCTCGGAATTGAGCCCGAAAAGCATCAATGATTATAGTGTTCGGGTTTTTAAATTGGATGCGAGTTGGGAAGCAGATTAAAGGGATCTTACCAGTTGCCGAGTTGCGGTCGAAAGCGAGTTGCGGCCCACATCAATTGCTTGGTGGACTCGTAATGGAGCCGCCACCGTGGAGACGAGTGGAAGGACTGGACGAGCGAAGGTCCAGATGACTCGCCGTTGGTTGATTCCATGGCCGTCGCCGATTAAGCTGGAGAGGGTGGATCCCATCTGGGGTTTTGGCTCAGGAGGACGTCGTGTGTATGAGAGAGAGAAGTGGGAGGGTTATGGCTGCCACTGAGAGCATTTATAGGGGAGAGAGAAGGAACTAAACCCTAGTTTCGTTGGGCTTTCTTGCATTCGAGCACCTCATAGCCCATTATTTGGAGTCTAATGCAAAGTAACTTAAAATTTAAGTACTAATTTACCATAGCATTCTGAAATTAATGCTTCACTGTAAGATTTTGGTTACTTAAATTAATAATTTTTGGAGTCCAAATTATTTGACACTGGTGTAATTTCTGTGTTTGTTTTTATGATCATCATATTTTTTAGTACTAATATTCATTAAAAATACGAAAATTATTTTTTTTCAGTAAATTCAACTAATAATTTACAATTTTATATCAGAATACGTTTTACTACTACTTAATTGTAAAACGTATTTTTATTATACGTTTTCCTTTTCTTTTTTATTAAAACGAATGATGTGTTTTATTAAAACGCATTTGTTAATGAACGTGTTTTGAGTCAATTAAAAACGTATTCCGATTATGCGTTTTAAAAGATTTTTTTAATTAAATTATAGAAATAAAAAACATATTTTGAAAATACGTTTTTCAAAACCCTAACCCCGGAACCCTGAACCCCGAACCCG